TTTCCAGCTAGATCCAGAGTGCCAAAGATCCTTCTCCTCACCAGTATTCTGAAGGAAAATTATACACACAAAAAGCTGAACCAAATAAGGCAAAATGCCGTATTTTTACCAAAACTCTAGAACTTCTTAGTAAAGTTGAAGTGGAGACCACAGCAGGCACCAGAAACCACAACTGAGAGTCTTCCTTCACCTCCCTGAATGGAAAAGAGTTAGTTATGCAGAAGGAGACCACTCGACTATCAAAGTCAGTCTGAGAAGATGAAAGCAAAAAACGAAGACTTGCTGGACAGCCAGAAGGAGAACTTCAGTCTGTTTATAGAATGAAACAAGGAACCAAAAGCGTTAGTCATATCTGGTCACAGTAAGCCAAAAGGGAGAGATTGCAGTTTGTTTCCTGTTTCTGAAAATGAAAAGAATAGCAGGAAATGGTCTAATGGGTGTCAGGCTCTCCCAGCATGCTAACATCCCCAAACAGATCAATCCCTCTGCCTTTGTGAGAGGGAGATAATTGACGAGGTGTCACCCCAGAGTTTCTCAGTCCTGGGTTATGGAGGGACAAACACTTCTTTCTGAGCCAGAGGAGGACAGTCAACTTGGAGTAATGGGGCAAAGTGCTGCTTAGGGGACCCCTCCCTGTGACTTTCAAAATCTCTAGTAAAGCCTACAAAATGCTTAGAATATGTATTTATTGCAAAAGCCGGCTGAAGAACTGAATTTCGAGTCTACATGAGAGAACTGTGGTGTACAATTTAGGAAGTATTGGGAAGCCTGAGGAAGGAAACTCTGGAAATTCCCAAAAAAGAACAAGAAAGATTTTGGGCTCTCCATGCTGGGGAAATGTAGCTTCAGCCAAGTCTTACCAAGTCCCCAAAGGGCAGAGTGAATACGTACTTAGTGAGTGCCTCATGTGTGGCAAGAACTTGGTACACAGCAGTGAAGGAGGAAGAATTCGCTGCCACCGACTACTGTGGTGGTATATGTCAATATACTGGGGCAACAAGTAATGAAAATTCAAGTAATATTTTAATTCTTTGTCCAAGGCATACACATCATCAAACTGGTGTAACTCCTATTTGTTGTCTTGCTGAGATGGGGAATGTTTCCATAAGAAGGTAAGACATAAGGTGAATCCTTCCATATGAATCCTTCAGCTGTGCTGAGTTCTCTGTTGGAAACTTGCACCACTGATTCTTTCTCTGTGTTCTCTGCATCACAGGGAAAGAGGCTGGACCAACACTAGCCCTTTCCTGACAGGTCCAGCTTAGAATCTGCAGAAGAGAAGCACCTTGTGAGATCTGGAACGGGGACGACAAGGAGTACCACTGCGTGAAGACAGCAATGTGATTCACAGCTGATGGCTCCTGGAAATCACCCAGCTTCCCCGGCCTGGGCAAATCTCTCATTCCCTGGATTAAAAGTATGTCCTACTTTTAATACCTAGATTGGCTTCCATTTCCCTAATCAGATACTCTGTATAAGTGGAGGGAGATGAAATGTTTCTGGAAACAATCAAGGCAAAAGAAAGGCAGAATCCAGAAGTGGAAGAGAGCATGGCCCAGAAATTCTGGGGCACAGAGTATGAGTGTGAAGCTGAAGACTATTGCGTGTGCTTCCATCCAGAGGGGTTTGT